TTGCGCGAAAGGACTGAGCAATTAAATTTGAGTAAATAGAAAATAAAATCTCTCGCTCAAAAATTTAAACTTTTTTAACCAAAGTTTTGCACGCATTGGAAGGAGGAGACGAATATAAACGATCAGATTACTGCCATTGGGTCCAAAGAAATTTTTTGAATAATAGAAATTTCGTGAGAAAAATTTTGTTCACTGATGAGGCTACGTTAACTACCAATTGAATAGTATCTGATTGGAATTGCAGATATTGGTCTACTGAAGATCTAGTCATCACCAAATTGGGGTGCTCTGGATTCAATATTCGACAAAGGCCATTTTTGCCTGTTCCTGATTGGCAGAGGTTCTACCAGTGAGAAAGTTATTTAAGTGCTTGTAAAAAAGTCGGTTGATAACAGGTCTCGAAAATATGTTGGGCAGAATTTCGATGCTTCATTCATTGAATTTTCATAATATGATTTGCATAACATGCGGCAGGACCTCTCCTCTTGACGAGTGCCGGTTGCTGCTAACACAATTTTCGGTACATTTCGTTGGTTTCACCACAATAGTACACTAGCGGGATGGTTTGGCCGCATGGAAGAAGGTTATAGTGGATCACACCAGCCGCTAACCACCATACAATAACTGTGGTCATTTTCTGGTTCTGCCTTTTCAAAGTTCCTGGATGGCTCATCGTTGTCCAATCATGGTCCCGAACGTCTCCTGTTGTTGTAGAGGATCCATTTCTCATAACACATGACGATCCAATCAAGAAACAAGGAATTTTTGGTTACCCAAAAGCGAAGAAGAACAGACTTCGAAGAATGATGATATATGTCGATGGTTCCAATCATGGGGCACCCATTTTTCGAAGTTTTCGACCTTTCCAATACGTTTTGAACCTTCAAAAACCGCTTGTGAGCTAACGACCACTTCTTTCGCAATCCCAGGCACCATTAGTGATGGATGAGTCTCCATCAGGGTCCCTAAATCCTCGTTCTGGATTATTTTGAATCGGTGGCTCATCTTCGAGGCTGAAATCTCCAGAATGATTTTTCGCAAACCAACGTCGAACTTTGCGTTCATTGACACTATTATTGCCAAAATAACGGTAATTCTTTGGACTGTTTTGGCAGCGTTTTGGTTCTATTTTAATTCTTAGAGGAAAGTTGGCCTATAATCACTGAACGACATCATACAAAACATATAACAATAATGCTATTCCCAAAGATTGCTTACGTTAACACTGATGACGAATACACTGATTTTCATTATCCAAACTCCTGTTATATGTACAGTGTCACCATTGAAGTGCGCACCATATGGGAAACTTTTTTTTCGAAAAGTTTCAATGAAGTTCAACTTTGGCACTTGTTTGTGCTTTAAATTCAACTTAAAATGATGCGGACAACTGCGACCCACTGACGTTCAGTGTTTGTCAAATTCAACTTTTTTTTTAATTGATAAAGTGCATTTCTAGATCGAATTTAATAAAAAGTTACTTGAAAAAGTTGTGTCTACGGCAATTTTATATGCATATGCCAAATTTTATGCAACTAGGATAAAGTTAACGTTTCGCTTATTTTTGACAGATATTCCCTTTAGTCAGTACCTTCAATTTTGAAAAAGCAGACACAACTCAAAAACTGCAATAAGTATTAATAAAATTACTAACGTTGTAATTACATTAAAATTTCAATATTCAGTATTTACAGATTATTTATAAACACAAACTAGGGCGGTAAGGATGCTTAATCACGTTGAATACAATTTTTAAGTAGGTCTTGACAAACAGAATGCATGCTATGGTAGTATCAAGTTGTTAGTTCACTTGTCAAATTTTTAACAGTTATTGTTGCAATAATGTTGTCTCTTCAGGAAAGAATGGAAATAGTTTTAATATGTGATGAGAATACACCATACCGGCAAGTAGCTAACATTTTTAATGAACGACATCCAGGAAAGAATGTTCAACATACTACTGTGTCAAGGATAATGTCGAAATTCAGAGAAACAGAATCCGTAGCAAATCAATTTAAGAAAAAGTAAAACAATTGAACTAACGACCTTGATTCTGTTGAGTCGCAAGATTCTCTATTAATGTTAGACTATTTGTGAAAAACTTTCACATTACTGGAGTTATTATAAGTTACTTGATTCGTTTCAGAAACTACTTTTTTTTTCTTTTCCTATGCCAGGCTGGTTGAATCGAAGATTTTGAGACTTTGGAAATAATTAAACATATACAGACATAATTCAAATCATCTTATCTAAAGGAATAATTCGTTCAGGCCAGTATTAACTCACCACAAGGCACTGTAGATTAATAAACTGACGCTTATCAGGAAACAACTACTCCGCTGGCTGACACCACGAAGGATCTTCACTGAAGATCAGACAGGTGTCAGTGCAGTATTCTTTACTGAAGTTATTTCTGCATTTGCTGTTAGCGACACAACTGCGGCAATGGATTTTCAACCTGTGGGATATAATCCAACGCCCTTCGTGGTATTAGCCAGGGGAGTAGTTGTTTTTTGATAGGTGTCTGTCCATTAACCTACAGTGTAGGGGGTTCAGACTGGCCTGAACGAATTGTTCTTTCAGATGATTTGATTTATAGCCAGTCTTCAAGTATGCCCGTGGTAGGTGCATTTTGAGCATTTCCATCAGTCCTGGGAGTTTCATCGTTCTACCTCGAATATTANTGAGGTAATTGATATATATTGTTATGTTTGACATTTAATGAAGGCAATTTTCATAATGGTGAATGAATAACTTCTTATTAGTCGTTTGAAAAAAAATGAATATTTACGTTTACAGATTTCCAGAGATCCCAACAGATTTGATTATCGTTCTTTATTTTTTCTGTGAGTCACGAATCATATTCGGGTTGAGGTTGATGTAAGCTGCAATTTGTATCATCAAATTAATTACTATCTGTATATATTTCTATAATTATTATACTGAATAGTGTTATCAGCTTCCAACAAGTGCTGAGTCGGACTAATTATAATTTAAATATTAGTCCCTCGAAATTTGTGTACTGATGGCCTTAGGAAACTGATATTTCATAGTTGGCTACTTCAAAACAAATTTCATCCTAGAATAATGATTCGCAATTGATGATATGTTTGATGAATAATATTTTGACACATTCACCCTTTGAACTACCTACAGAGTAGGTTCTAGTGAATTCCTCAGCTGATACTACGCTGGATATTGAATCATATCCAACAGACATTTATTCGGCATACCTCACAAGTGTTTGACTCCTAGATGTTTCTTGTTAATCCAGCTCAAGACTCTAGAGGATCACGCTTTCGGGCTCTGTGATGCAAAAGAAGGTTTCGGAAAGAAACTAGCCATTATCAAAAAAGACCTCCAAAGAAATGGTTACTCCGAAATGATGGTGGAACAAATTTTGGCTGAAACATAGCAAGATCCATACAAGGAAGATACGCCGTCACAGACAGTGCTTGCCTTTCCGTATTCCAGAGGATTGTCGAAAAGAATAAAAAGAAATGGATCCAAGTACAACATCAGAACCTGCTCCAGATCCGGAAACATCATTTTCAGCAGCCTCACAAAAACCAGGCCACCAAACGTGGACTGCCATTCCAAGAATTGCATGTACAGTATACCCTGTGAGTACAGCAAATGTTCTATTGGTGGGTGAAATAAAGAGGTCATTGAAAGACCGCATTGCCGAATATAAGAGACACAAACAGCGAGGAGAAATCAACAAATCGGGAATAACAGAGCATGTTGAGACTCATCAGAATGATGAGATCATCCACAGGAAGGAAAACTGGTTTAAGAGAAAGTTCAAAGAAGCGCTGCCTAACATACAAGTTATGCAGCTTGGACTGTCCAACGACGCATTCAGCAAAGCTAGCGTAGAGATACGCAACATATGGAAACCTTCAATCAAGCGAAAAAACGGTCAATTCCCACCAAAACCGGTGATGCAGAGGAAGCGGCGAGGTGATAGTTGCAATAGTCCAGTTATTACCCGAAGACAATGGTGGATACTAATATCGAAACATCGTGAAGAAACTTGGTTTGAAATCTTTTTGATTTTGTATTTCATTTTTAATTGTTCAATTACTTCAATTTTGTGCTCTTAATGTGTGATTTTGATTTTTTTCGTCTCGCAGTTTTCATTGAACTCAATTTTTCTCGCTAAAAAAACCTTGATTTCTATATTATTTAGACATTTTTTTCCTTTATCTGAAAATGTTGAATTGGAATAATTAATGATGAAATGTGTGCAATAGCGGACCATTTTGATATCTTACCGAGTATCATAATGTGTGATTTTGATTTTTTTCGTCTCGCAGTTTTCATTGAACTCAATTTTTTTCGCTTAAAAAAGCCACGATTCCTATATTACTTAGACATTTCCATTTATGAATATGATGAACAATTTGCCTCTCACGATGGTGACCAACATCGTCGAAACGTTATCAATTGAATTGTTAGTGAATAAATACATGTCCAATTACTAGTGGATACTTTGCGATAATATTGCTTTAACATCTGGTGTTTCATCCAAAATTTAATGTAAACTCACAGAAATATATTTATGAAAGATTATCCGCCTAGGTTAGGTTAGGTTAGGTCCTAACTCACCTAGGTTAGGTGAGTGTGTCTATTCGACCCTCCACCACAAACCGCTAGAATTTATTGTGGCCTTCCGACAGTTCGAGTCTCTGCATATGATGATTCAAATGACAATGATCTGTGAGAATTCTCTGCCCAATCAACAATTCACCTTATAGAAAAAAATGCATCTCATGAGAAATATTTTTTCAATCCTATATTCACAAAAAAACTCTTGATTTGGTTGAATATTCATGAACTTCTATATACTCACCATCCATTTTCAAAACTCATTTTTAATTTCAACTTCGAATTCATTTCAGATACATTGGATCATATTTCTTAGAGCATGCCACTAATCACTGGCAGATTAAAATTATTCACAGTAATCACGAAATGAAACAACCATAAATGCTTGTGCAAATTTATTCAGTATTCTCTAATTTGTGAGTGACATTCAACTATGAACACAATTTTTCATTTGTTTGCCAGTAGAATATAAGTGTATCCAGCTTTCATGATCTGAAAACAAAAAATATACGGAATAATTGATGTGTTATGCAACATAAACATTCGAAAACACGGTTAGTTATTTATGAATTTGAGTTACTTAACCAATATTATTCTCATATCACAGCCCTGAACTGAAATCTATTGAAAATTTCAATTCGAATTGTGATTGTTTTATCGTAATTTTTTTCGATAATCATGAAGAATAATTCATTAATTCCGTAAGTTACATCGAAACTGCTAAAAAATGGTGAAAATAACATATAGCACCGCTTTGACAAAAAAGACTCCAGATTTTTTCTTATCTGTAATAAAAAAGAATGCATGAAAAGTCAACTGAAAGACACTTTATTTACTGACTGACATGAGGCACGATCCAATAAACGATCACTCGTCTCTATCGAATTGGAACCTTAGTTAATCAAATATTGTAATTTATATTTTTTAACAATTGACCACTAGTGGACCTGGTGCAGGTGTTTTCGGTCGCAGACCCAGGACGAACATATTAACCTACCAAGGATCCATGCGACTGTATTTCAAGCGGAAATTTACGCTACTGAATTGTCTGCGGAGATATTGGAAGAATCCAACCTCATACACAGGTCAATGAAATTATTCTCGGACAGTCAAGCGGCTCTTGGCTCCTACCGAGCAACGTCTAAATTGGTATCAAATTGCCAAGAACGATTCTCCTCGATAGGAAGACTTTAGAGATTGTCTCTGGTCTGGATTCCTGGCCATACTGGCCTGGAAGGCAATGAGGCTGCTAACTTCCTTGCAAAGAAGGAAGCTGCAAGTAGCTTTATTGGACCAGAACCTGTCATTGGCATCGCTTTAGGCTTTGCCAAACAAAGATTGAACCCTTGGATGACATGAAGATTTATGGACTCTTGGCAAAATCTTCCAGGATTGGCTCACTCCCAGGCGTTCATTCACCCTTCAAAGCTTGATACCAAACAGTTGTTTGACTACAGTAGGGATGAACTACGATGTCTAACAGGCCTTCCTACAGGTCACTGTTATTTGAATCATCATATGCAGAGACTCGGATTGTCGAAAGACAGTGTGTGTTGCCTCTGTTTGGAAAATAATAAAACAGCAGAGCACATACTTTGTGTCTGCCCCGCTGGGAACTGAATCAAGTTCTTAGAGTTCGGCAGAGCCGGTGGAGAATCGAATATACCCACTCACTTTTGACCTAACCTAACCTAGCCTAACCTTACCTAACTAGTGAATCTCATACAATCATTTACCTTTATTAGGACAACATTACTCATGACATCCATATTTCCAATATGCAGACACAGTGGCTTGTTCGTCCGGATCATAGTTATAAATAAGGTACTTTTCACTGAAGGCGATTGTTCATACCAATTGCTTTTATAAACACAGGATCCGATATCTTTACTCTGAAACAGTTATGAAACGATGATCCTATGTCAATTTTGTTGTGTTTGGAAAATTCTCAACAATTCGTACTGCGTTATAATATGAATTTGTTCTTATTTTAAGAGTGTGTATACATTTGAGAATAGGTCGCTGAAAGACAGATATTGTTAGAAATTTCAAAAGTTTCAATCCAACTCTTAATGCACACGAATGTTGGTGAAACAAATACTCGGGATCATTGGTTCCCAGGAAAAATCTGCAAATGAAATTTAATGTTTTAATCAGTCAAACAAATGAAGAGACACCTAAATATCTCTGTCCTTGAAAATCGTTCATTCGATATCAATTACTTCAATTGGAATATCCTAGACAGAACTCACTATTTCAGTTAGGTAAGTTTTTTTCCGACCCTCTTTTTATGGTACATCAACGATTTATTGGGACAAAACAAGGATTCAATTTATTGCTTTGCTGATGATAGAACATTTGTCTCGTCATTTCATTTGGATTTCAAGACATCGGCTTCGGATGCACATCTTCACCGGCAGCATGAGGTTGCAAATCTCAACGAGTATCTAGAGGTGATTTCGAATTTGGGTGACACTCACCAGGTTCAATTTAGTAGAACTATATATGAAAGACAGGAAAGCGAATACGAATATCTGTGAAAAAAATACAATTTTTTTTCGATGCGGTATGGAACGATTCAATAAGGCGATAGACATTGAAATACTAGTTGAAGTTTCAGTCGTCGAAGTGTTTGGTTGTATCAACAGTAATTCTAACTATCGAAATTGTTTGTGATGTTCAAATTCCCAAACAGGTACATGATTCTCAATTCAGATTGAGCTTTGTGTAGCACTGAAAGTTCTGAGGGGTATACGAATTACTAGTACTACTACTACTATTTCAGCAAAGTGACTGTAAAAAACCAATCGTTATCCAATTAGCAATCCAACATATTGATTGATACTGTCAGAGAAATTGGACAAGGTTGGACCTGTTGAATAAGAGTCAGAATGGGTTTTTCAACTACTAAAAAACTTGGTCTTCTATCCATTTTCAACTTTAATTGGCTTTTGTGTTTTCCAAACTACGCTTGAGGAAGCGAAACACGTGTCGCGGTTTTTGTAAAACCCTTCATAGTGAAAATCATACTATAAACTTCATTAATTAGTTATAAACTTTTAAATAATTGTTTCATACGCTTCCCAAAGTTCAAAGTTGAAAAGTGATTCTTTCAACTAGATCAGAGTACATAGCATTTTATTGAACTCTTGATTCTATACCAAAGTCCGCTGTTTCGAACTGTCCTGTATACCATCAGAAGAACTGATGGTGATAATATTGTAACTCTGTTGTACTTTCGAGCTCTGACATAATATAGTTGTAAATGAGATATAACATAAATAGGAGAATCGTGATTTCTCATTAATTTTTGATATTCATGTTTTAATTTCATCCAGTAGCTGGATTTAACAATTACCGTCTAGCACAATCAGCTGTGAAAAGACTTCAACTGCTGAAAACTGTTGGACACACACACGTTCATAGTCTTATCAACTGATCCTAAGAAATTGATATTTATAAATGCATTCAACCAACCAATTTGGTGTCATCAGTAGATAGACTATTCTCAGCATAATAATTTACCCTATCGACTGTAGTTCTCCTTCTGTTAACAACAACACAATAAAGCGTGCGTCACACAAAGTTATGCGGTTTTACTGTGTAGAGTGATGAGTGTTCCAGAGTTTTGTTTTTAGTTGCCAGACATGCTCTGACACTTTTTCACTCTGAAATTCACTGCTGAGTCCATTGAAGTGGTAAATTTGGATAAATGTGATCGTCCTGTATATAGTCGATTTTTAAGAATGATATACCTACACCTTTCAGCAGAGAGTTTTCATCAATTATTGTCTTCAGATTCATCTCTTTCTGAAAGTTTCCCACTCTTCAGCTAGTAATGTGAAAGTGCAAAGAATTTCAGCAGAAAAAATATCATCCCCTAATATATTTGCTATTCAAAGTATAATTTCATTTTTTTGTTTCTCTTCTTGACCTTCCTGCATAACTTTTCAAAGCTTTGATCTCAAAGATATCTTCATTTCATGCAATTATCCAATATGGTCACTTGTGTATTGAAATCAATATTTTCCTTTGGTAGTTTTCATTATTCAAAACCCTCTTCTGATGGAAAAGGGGGCCTCGAGGACTATTTCTAATAACATCCACCATAAGTTTTCAGGACAACGAGAACTTCCTCGTTATTGCCTGTTATTTAAAGAGCAGATTGAGTAATATGATTTCTATGTTACTCATGTTCGTAACTGTGAGAAAATTATCAAATTATATTTTTCATGGCAGGTATGATTGGAACATCTATAGAAAAGTATATTTGATGAAAACACTTTTTTTACATCGCAACTATTTAGCCCTGATGTTGCTGAATTGGTTAGCGAAACGGGCTTCGAAAGATAGTGCTCTAGTTTCAGTGTGGAAAATATGTTTTCATCAAATTGAGTCTTCCTAATATTACAAGTTCAGAAAGAGATACTCACCTTCAGTATAAGTTCATTGGCATGAAAATACATATAGAAAACTTGAACAAGAAACATTAACAGAGTTGAGAGAAGGAAGGCAATTTCAGATAAGTCACTATCCTGAAAAAAAACCGTTCTCAGATTTTTGTACTATCTAGAACAAAACTTTTTGGACTTTGTTGATCTAGGTACAGATTATCCCATAGACGAGAATGATTTTTGGAAAAATCAGTCATACAACTTACTGTTTCTATATGGAACAGAACCAAAGAAATTTGATACGATCGCACAACAAAATCTCCAAAAAAGTACCATCGGAGAGCATCGTTGAGGTCATCCACTGATCTATAAAACATATATTTAAATTCTCATTTTGAATGATTCACAGCCCATCTATATACTTAATAATTTCCTGATGCTTCACTATCAAACCTCGTAAGATACTATTACAGCTTTCTCTTGTGTTTTTGGAATACTCATCAAAATGTTCAAGTTGGTATCCAAGAATTTCCAATCTGAGTACGGGAAAAATAATCAATGACAGAAAAACAGAATCACATGCTATATGAAAAACTCCCGGTATCAAAGCGTTTACGAATTGCCATAAATAGGCAATTTCAAAGTTTTTATCAACATCGAAAGGATACCACTGTTGAAAATTTAAAGACCTGTTCAACGTAATATTTCCAGAAATATCATTTTTCCAAGATTTTATATCTGAAATCCCTTTCAGTATGAAACTCCCGAAAACTGCAACATTGCCGAATGCGATAAGAAAAAATATTCTGCTGTTATATCTGGAATAAATGTTATAAATAGTCATGACTGCTGTATCAGTTCCTGTCAAAACAGAATATTCTATATCGTGAATATCTTCTATTATTTTCGTTACTTTCTTCGTCTGGAATAATAACATCTTCCACATCACCTCAACGTAGAATAAAAGATAGGTCATGTAATTACTTCGCGCTTCGAAATCGAGACTATCATCCATCAAATGCTTTGCTTCAACTGCAGTAGTAGCGACAAAAACGAAATAGTTTCCAAGGAGAGCGATAGCAAAAATTCTGTAGATAGTTTTGAGGGTGATATTATTTGTATCAATTTTCCACATACCACATAATGTCATCAACATTCTGGCAACTTTCAGAAATTGAGATTGCTTCTTCATTGCTGTGAAGTTTGTAGTGTTCTGATAGAATTTCTTTTGATCGAGTGACGTATACCATCCGGAAATTACCAGATCAAAGAGCTCTTTCACATGGAACAAATGGGAACATTGTTAGCAGTTGCTTGTAATTTGAAGTAGTTACTTATAATTTTCCGCTAACATCAATATGATAATAATACATTTATGTTCTTGGAGATTTATGTATTGCAAATTACCTTTATTTTAGTATGCACTTATGTTTTCATGAATAATTGAAAACAATTGAACTAACGACCTTGATTCTGTTGAGTTGCAAGATTTTTCATCAATGTTCGATTGTTCGTGAAAAACTATCACATTACTGACGTTCTTATGATGCAGTATTTGGAACCTTTGGTGTAGTAATGAATATTACTGGAGTTTCTTTCCCAACACCAAGACGAAGATGGAACTTTCTCTTGAAGATGACCACTTGGTGATCGAAACACATGTCGAGGTGTTAAAAATAACGATTTGGTGTATTATAATCAGTTAGTTGATTCGTTTCAGAAACTACTTTTTTTCTGTTTCTTCTATGCCAGGCTGGCAATAGATTTTCAATTATTGGAACCCACTTGCAGACCGGTTTCGGCCTGTTTGTTCACGCGTCGGTGCAAGGTAGTGTCTATCAACTTGAAGTCGATGATTTCCGATAATTGAAAATCGAATTACTTCAGAGTATCATTCCTCGAACTAGGATTAGGTGAACAACAAACGACAGGTTTGTCATCGCCCCATCTGCCTGTGAAAGAGGTAACTAACAGCATATCCAAAATTTGTCCAAGGAAAGAAAACTTTTTACATATAGTCACTAGACATACTTGAAGACTGGCTATAAATTAAAGTATCTAAAGGAACGATTCGTTCAGGCCTGTGTCAACTCCCTACACTGTAGGTAAATGGACTGACGCCTATCAGAAAACAACTACTTCCCCGGCTAATACAACAAAGAGCGTTGGATTATATCCGACAGGTGTCAGTGCAGGACACCTTCACTAAAGTTATTCCTACATATGCTGTTGATAATACAACTGCCGCAATATATTTTCAAGCTGTCGGATATAATACATCGCCCTTCGTGGCATTAGCCAGGGGAGTAGATGTTTTCTGATTGGTGTTATTCCATTAACCTACAGAGTAGGGAGTTGAGACTGACCTGAACATATTGTTCTTTTAGAAGATTTGATTTATAGCCAGTCTTCAAGTATGTCATCTGACTATATGTGATACAGACATCCCTACTGATATTATAAATGCGAATGTTAGTTTGTTTGTTAGGTTTCACGCGAAAACTACTCAACCGATCATCATGAAATTTTGTACACATGTATTAGAAGTAACATAGAATACTTTTTATATAAAGTTCTATTGTAAGATAAAAAAATTGAATATTATTTTTGTTATAGTGAAATATATTGTTGTTGCAATATATTTGTTGTTGAAATTCAATAAAGCATATTTTAAATTTTTGAAACTTCATCGTATGTAATAATTTTTAAAAATTGATAATCCCAGCAAAGCATTAAAATATATTTCTCATATTGATTCATATCTATTGTACTGACACTTATTTAATGGCATAAATGCAAGCGAAGTCGCGGGTAAAAGCTAGTAATTTTTAAATATGCATAACCGATCTTCGGCTTCAGAGAAAAATCGAAAACACCTGTACCAAATTTGTGTTTTTCAGAAGTATCTAGCATCATAAATATGATATTATTTCAGCTACATTGAAATGAAAAGGGAGTTTGATGAAGCAAACCTGATTATCAAACACAATGCAATTAGGCCATTATATAAGATTAATCAGAAAAACATTGATATTGATGTCATTCTCTCCGACTAGACTTTAATTCCACTAAGAGCAGTTTTCTCATATAACATTGAAGATTATTATTATAAAAAATGGTTACCATTCTAGAACTGCATTTGAGTAATGAATCAGTGGGAAAAAAATTGATGAGCACAGATAGAATTTTCATAAATGAATTGTATTTTACATTCCAGATGCAATGTCTTTTATACATAATTATTTATTCTGATAAAACATATATATTTTGGGACGCCAATCAAAATACAGAATAACTAAAAATAATGGTAAAATATCAGCATTTTATGTCAAAACTTTATTAGATGAATTGTTTATTTTGACCAAACACTCCTAGGAGATGAGGTAATTGATATATATTGTTATGTTTGACATTTAATGAAGGCAATTTTCATAATGGTGAATGAATAACTTCTTATTAGTCGTTTGAAAAAAAATGAATATTTACGTTTACAGATTTCCAGAGATCCCAACAGATTTGATTATCGTTCTTTATTTTTTCTGTGAGTCACGAATCATATTCGGGTTGAGGTTGATGTAAGCTGCAATTTGTATCATCAAATTAATTACTATCTGTATATATTTCTATAATTATTATACTGAATAGTGTTATCAGCTTCCAACAAGTGATGAGTCAGAGTAATCATAATTTAAATATTAGTTCCTCAGTGTTTTTGTCTCTCTTTCTCTCTCTTTCTCTGATATTGGTACTTGCTTCCGTTCGGAAGCAGCAAGTCATGTCTACTCGTAGGAGTATAGAAGTTAGCTGTACCCAATATTGCACTCTTTTTTATGGTTCACTACACAATTGAACTCAAATCAAACGATTTGAGACGTCGTGATCATCCGCCGTTTCGTCGATGAGAACAGCCGCATCGAGTTACACGTCTACCCACCTCGACGAGGAAAAGGAAACTCAGTGTTTTCTATAAATTTTTACAAACTGGTTACGCATAAAATCATATACTTTTCGGAAAATTCTTCATTGTAAGATTTTCATTACACATTTTTTCACAAAGTATAGACACGCTATTGTATAGCGAAACACGTGTTACGTTTTCATGAAACTGTGAAGTGAAAATCTCACAATGAAGTGTTTCTTGAATAAGTGAAATGAGTATGTTATAAAAAATCTAGAGATGCACTTGCTTTATTGAAAAACCTTTTTTGAGGTCACGGATTATGGAATCAATGAATCCAGGTGTTTCAGAATTTACATTCATACAATAATAGCTTTCGCCAACTATCTTATCCTACTAGCCCCTTCTTGTAACGGTCTAAATTTACTTGTAAATATTGTAGATATTGTTCGTTTATTTACTATGGAATCGACAGAATTGTCATTTATTGATGACGAACTTGGATATATCTCGAATACTTTCGCCATCAACACTGATATTCCCCAGGGATCCATATTATTCCCCTTTTTCAGTGTATATCTATGACTCATCAGTAACCAATAATCCTATATATTGCTTTTCTGACGACAGCACACTTTTCTCGTCATTCTATTTAGATTCCAGGTCATCGGCTATGGCGGCACATATTCACCGGCAGCAGGAAGGTGCATACCTAAATGAGTATCTAGAAGTGATTTCAATTTGAGGTGAAAGTAACCAGGTTCTCCAAGTAGATGAATAATAATAATAATAATGATAATATCGTCTTTATACTTACCTCGAGGTGGAACAAAGCCACTCACAAAAGGTAACAGCAGTGAAAAACTCTCTCCACGGCAAGTATCAGCACAAACTTCGACAGATCTGGTCATCGGAACTGTCGAGGAAGAACAAAGTTGCTGCAACAAATATGCTTGCCGTTCTAATCTTACTCTACTCGTTTAGAGTAGTGAAGTGGATCTGGGAGGAGCTGTATCAATTCGACGTAAAGACCCGAAAAATGATGCATCTCTATAGGAATTTGCATCTCAAATCGTCCGTTCCACGGTTGTACTTTCCCCGACAACAGGGAGGCCGTGGACTTTCGAGTTTGGAGAGTCTACATGACAGAATGGTACAGGATACAGCCCCTAAAGTCGTCAGGAGTTCGGATCCCCTTCTCTGCATGGTCCGTGACTATGAGAGAGCAGGAATTTGAGCATTCCTCTTTAGAGCAGCTGCCCAAGTAGCTGATGAACTAGGTATAGTTTTCGACTCTGAACGAGGTGACCACAACTCTGTCACCGATTTGGAACCCGTTCAGCAAAAGGCTCAGATAAAAGCCGCAGAGATCACCTCATTCCACAAGAGACACAAAGATAAGCCAATGCATGGGGTCTTCTTCAATAACATTGGAGACCTTGGCTTATCAAAGCGCCTGACGTTC